TGTATCCTTTGTGTAGGTCAAGATGACAGGGTCAGACCTCCCTTATTTTTTAAGTGCAATGTAATATTCTAATAAATAACACTTTGTTACAAATACTTGGGTTGTTAATTTAATGACGGAGGTGGGAAGGAGTTAGACCTCTGAAGACTGCACATAGCAACATGCCCTTGCTAGTGGGGTATTGCAAACGGCGGCAGAGATCCTGAGTGCGCGGCGGGGCTTGCTGGATTGGCTTGTGCCATCCTTGGGGTGCAGCAGAGCAGCGTGGTGCAAGGGGCTGGTGGCAGGATCTGTCCTGCAGGAGCCTGCAGCCAAGTCAGCCCCATCTGTGTTTCTTTGGAGACTTGCATCTTTGCCAGCTGATGCCCTGGGAGGGATGTGATGTTTGGGTGTCTGCTCGTCAAGCAAAGCTGCCTCTGGTATGAGTGAAGCCACTCTGGCCACTGATTGATCTGAATAGGATTGATTCCTGGTTTTAAGACAGCATTTGGCCAAAAAAAAAAATCAAGAGGTGGACTCATAAGCCTCTCTGGCCACTGATTGATCTGAATAGGATTGATTCCTGGTTTTAAGACAGCATTTGGCCACAAAAAAAAAATCAAGAGGTGGACTCACTTCCCTTGCAGGGGATCCCAGCAGTTCCTGGGGTGGCTGCAGGCTCCTGGGGCTGGGGTCATTCCAGCGAGCATCATTTCAGATGGTGGTTCAGGACTGATTCCTGACTTTGCAGTAAAAATAACCCCAAACCACTTTTTCCTCTTCCCTGGTCTTCCCCAGGGGGAGCTGAGATCAGGGTGAGATGCTGGCTCTAGGAGAGAGCCTTGAAGCAGAGAGAAAGGGCTTTCCTCCAGCCCCTTTCCCTTCGGCAGATGTCAAACTTCAGTTTTCAAAGGGGAGTGCTAAGCTATTTGCTTTCTACTCCTGCTCCTACAATGTGCACTAAAGCTGGGCAGTGAGTAATCTGGAGAGCTTTTTGGCCTAATTTACCCAGAATTTAGCTCTGGTAAAGTATGAAATAAGCTTTATGCTTACTGGGGGAGGGGTTGCTTAGGAAGTGAGTGCATAGGTTGATCCCTCTTGCGCAGCCGGTAAGTTTGTGGTAGCAAAACCTGGGGCATGGGAAGATGGAATGCAGCAATACTTTGGCTTTCCAGTGCTTCCTGAGATAGAAGGGCTAAAGTACGTGGCTACGGCAGATGGGAAGCGGGTGGGTGACAACAGACACCCTTGCGTGTTATCACCCGGAGAGTAAAAGCCCCAGCAGCTGCAGTGGCCCGAGTCCCAGAGCCAGGGAAACATGCTCTGCTTTGTGCAAACCTGAACCTTAATGCTGTGGGAGTGCCAGTTTAATCAGAGACTTCAAACTTTGGCCTTTTTCAATGTCTATTAAGCAAATAATGCCTCCAGCTGCTGTGCAGGAGGCCCTTCTGCTCTGGATCGCCTGGCTGTGTCCCTGCCTTGCTGTGCTGCTGCTGCTCCCCTTCCCGGAGCCACTCCCTGCTCCAGCCTTCCTGCCTTTCATGGTGGGCAGCTCCGAATGCCTGAGGCTCCGCACCACCTTGGCGGGCACTGGGAATAGCTCTGCTGGAAGGCTTTTCTGCAGACAGCTGGGACTTCTGCCCAGAGCCCAGCTGCCCTCTGCCCTCCTCCTTCCCTGCAAGGACATGTTCTGGTCCACTTTGCTCCTCTGTAGGCCGGCAGTGCCCACAGGTGGTAATTTAACAGGCCAAGAGATGGGAAACATATTTTGGAGATGTATGGAGCGGGAAGCTGGCTGGATCCATGGGCTGGCTCCCTCTGCCCCACTGGGCTTGGAAGGGCTGACAGTCCCCCATGCTGTATCGCAGAGCTGCTCTTTTCCCGGCTGAGGCAGGTATGAAGCCCCCAGGGCAGCTCCCTGGTCCAGCTGCGCTTGTGGCCATGAAACAGGAGGTGGCCCGGAGCCTGGCTGGGGCACGCGGGGCTCTGCCCTGCCCAGGATGCTGACACGCTGCAGGGGGAGGCCAGGCTGCTCGCCTAACTGTGCCTGCAGGAATGGGGTGCCAGGAAAGCAGTCTCCACCACCCTGCTTTCCCCCCTGGACAGGAGTGGGCCGCTGCGGCAGCTGGCCAAGCTGAGCACTGGCGGGGGTCCTGGTGAAGGCAGGCGGTGGCCTCCAGCAGCCCCAGCTCAGCAGCCTGGCCCTTCACCCCCCTCCGGGCACGAACCCAGGAGCACAAACATGTCACCAGCTGCAGGACTTCCTGACTGCCATGGTGTCAAGTCCACTTGCCTCTGACGCTGACTCCATACTGTGACCTCTAGCATCTCCCTTCAGATCCCTTTGACACCTGTGCCTGGCTTGTCTACGGGTGACAAAACGTGTGCCCAGCCACTAAACACCATCACCCAGTGTGTCCCAGCCCCCTGCCTGGGCTCACTCGGTCCTGCTGCAGGCAGAGACCACGTGCCTGGAGAAGAGCCCTGCAGCTTCTTCTGCCTCTTCTCTGGAGCAAGGGTCAAAGCTAGGAGACCTCCAAAATCCCAGATGCAGATTTAATAAAAAATTGCAATATATTGCATTAGTCAATTTAATAACCAATTCTCCCCTGCCTGCCCCAGCACCTTGGCAGCCATGCTTCAGTGCCTTTGGCCATCACAGTGTGGCAGGGTTTGGATGGAGGGGGCAGCAGTGCCCTGGAGCAGGGACGAGGCAGCTGAAGAGACACCCCAAAAGTGGCTGAACCACCCCCGCTGCCTCCCTTCGGAAGCAGGTGGCAGCAGCCGTGCGCGTGCCTCCATTCGGCTGATTTTCCTCCCGACTGGGGCTGTTGGCTTTGCCCAGCTCCTCACCCAGCCGCTAAGCCCCGAGCCTGGGACGGGCTTTGCCACAGTGAGGCATCTCCCATGGGTTTGCTGCCACCGCAGAGAGCGCAACACAAATCCCCCCAGGCGCCTGCGGAGTTGGGGGCACAGCGGAAGGCCTCACACCGGCGTGCAGCTGCCCTCGCAGGCAGGGGGTGCAGGCAATGGGGACTGTCCCCCAGCTCCAGCTCTGCACCGGGTGAGTAGCAGTGCCGGGGGGGGCAGTGGGTGGGTATCTGCGGCAGCTGGAAAGAGCTGGGGAAGACACTGAAACGGGTGACCGCGCTCTGGGAGCGGGTGGCAACAAGAGCTGAGAACCCCTGAAGGTCGGATCCTGCACTCTGCTTTTTAATAGGGGCGTTGCAGCAGGTTCCCCCCGCCTGCCTCCAGCTGCAGAGCGGCACGCTGGCCACTTCAGTTTTTGCTACCTTCGCCCAAAAGGCATCCGATGGCCTCATCATGATCTCACCCTTACCCCAGCCCATCTGGGCAAGCTCCAAGGAAAGCTCCGGGGCTGGAGGGAGTGAAGGTGACTCATTGGCGGGCAGAGGCAGGCCGCAGGGTGCTGCGGGCAGCAGGCAGCCGAAAGCTGTTGCTGCAAGAGTCGCAGCACCGCCACCCCCTCCACGGGGAGCCCCCCGGGCCTCTCACCGCCCGGCTCGGTACCTCTGCCCGGCAAGCACGCCGCGATTTCAGCCTCCCCTTGGCGCTTCACTGGATCCGAGATGCCCGGCACCCCCAGCCCCAGCACCTCCGCGGGTCTGCAGGATGAGGCCGCGTTTGGCCGCTGGGGGTTATTAACGAAGCACCGCTCTGGCTCTGTTTTTAGCAGCCGTTACAGCTTTTTGGTCTGTCCCTGGTGCTCCCCCACTGGTGACTCTGGGACCCTCCCCTGGGGCCGGCCGGG